TTGGTGTGTATATTATTGTATTGTTTATGGACCCTGGCTCTTGGTGTGTATATTATTGTATTGTTTATGGACCCTGGCTCTCGGTGTGTATATTATTGTATTGTTTATGGACCCTGGCTCTCGGTGTGTATATTATTGTATTGTTTATGGACCCTGGCTCTCGGTGTGTATATTATTGTATTGTTTATGGACCCTGGCTCTTGGTGTGTATATTATTGTATTGTTTATGGACCCTGGCTCTTGGTGTGTATATTATTGTATTGTTTATGGACCCTGGCTCTCGGTGTGTATATTATTGTATTGTTTATGGACCCTGGCTCTTGGTGTGTATATTATTGTATTGTTTATGGACCCTGGCTCTCGGTGTGTATATTATTGTATTGTTTATGGACCCTGGCTCTCGGTGTGTATATTATTGTATTGTTTATGGACCCTGGCTCTTGGTGTGTATATTATTGTATTGTTTATGGACCCTGGCTCTCGGTGTGTATATTATTGTATTGTTTATGGACCCTGGCTCTCGGTGTGTATATTATTGTATTGTTTATGGACCCTGGCTCTTGGTGTGTATATTATTGTATTGTTTATGGACCCTGGCTCTCGGTGTGTATATTATTGTATTGTTTATGGACCCTGGCTCTCGGTGTGTATATTATTGTATTGTTTATGGACCCTGGCTCTCGGTGTGTATATTATTGTATTGTTTATGGACCCTGGCTCTCGGTGTGTATATTATTGTATTGTTTATGGACCCTGGCTCTCGGTGTGTATATTATTGTATTGTTTATGGACCCTGGCTCTCGGTGTGTATATTATTGTATTGTTTATGGACCCTGGCTCTCGGTGTGTATATTATTGTATTGTTTATGGACCCTGGCTCTTGGTGTGTATATTATTGTATTGTTTATGGACCCTGGCTCTCGGTGTGTATATTATTGTATTGTTTATGGACCCTGGCTCTTGGTGTGTATATTATTGTATTGTTTCCCATAAGAACAACTATGACTCCCTGATTCATGCCGTAACCATTGTTTTCAGAGGTGAGCGCAGCGCGTCCTGTGTGATGTGGCTAGTGGGTGTCTCTGGGGCTTTCTGTACACTGGTCCGTGGTCCGTGGGCCGGGCGGCCCAATAGTCCTTTTGAAGTGTAACAGCTCGAGGGCTGCCACGAAAACGCAGGGCGCCCAGCCACGTGCGGGTCTCAGGCACACAATGAATATCACTCACGGCAGGTACATCCCACGTATTGCAGGGGCGTCTAGGGGTGGTTGTTTATCCGAAATTGAGGTGGGCACAGGACTGCCGCGTGTTGAAGTGGTAGAAACCATTCAGGAGATTTCAAAGAGGGAATGATATACTCCTACACCAACAAACTCACCATCACCTCTTCCCACAGGTAAACGCATTCTACAACAAAACATGTTTTTGTTATAAATATGTCCCATGCGATATTTGGCACACACTTCAGCTGCAAAAGTTACTGTTGACCTGAAATCCAAATGTAACTCAAATGTAACTGGGTAGCCAGCTTTTCTACTGGCGAAATCTAGCAACTCTGACAGCTGTAACAGCAGCGTCAGCCACACAGCCTTCCTTTTAGGAACCAATTTCTAAAATGCCAGCTGGTTGTGCATCTAAGCAGGGTAACTGTCTCCCTCCAGTGGCGAATCCACTTAATCACTTATTAACCGCTTCAGGGCTCAGCTGCAAAGAACAGAGTCCTGCCCGGCAAATGTGGCTCAGTGGACAGAACGTCGGCCTCTGGACCGAAGGGTCCCAGGTTAGATTCTGGCCAAGGGCACAGGTCAGGGCGCACGTGCAGGAGGCAACCAATCGATGTGTCTCTCACATCCGTGTTTCTCTCTGTCTTTCCCTGTCTCTTCCACTCTCCCTCAAAATCCATGGAAAAATGCCCTGGAGTGAGGACTAACAAAAAAGACAGCCCAGCCCTCATCGGTGTGGCTCAGTGGATAGAGCGTCGGCCTGCGGACTGGAAGGTCCCGGGTTCGATTCCGGTCAAGGGCATGTACCTTGGTTGTGGGTGCATTCCTGGTGGGGCTGTGCAGGAGGCAGCTGGTCGATGTTTCTCTCTCATCGATGTTTCTAGCTCTCTATCCCTCTCCCTTCCTCTGTGTAAAAAATCAATAAAATATATATTTTTTAAAAATCTCCCGGTGGAAGGGGGTCGGGGGCAGGCACGGGGTGTCTGGGCCACCAGCACAGCCTCTGACCATCACAACAACCGCACCATCTGAAAAGTGTTAAACGCATTGATCAAGGAGAGGCGCCCGGCTGGTGGCTGAGTAGAGGGTGCAACCCTTGCCCAGGGGTTGGGTCAGGGGGCAGAGGCCCTCATCCCCACCCCCTGGGGTCGGAGGCTCCGGACTCTGCCGGTGGTGACACACTTGGATCCTGTGTTTCCCCGGCGTGAGTCCCCACCCAGGCGCCCCGCCTTGTGTCTCCCTGGCTCCGGCAGAGCAGGCTTTTGGGTTCTGGGCGTGGCTGGTCCCAGGGGAGCTGGCTCGGGCCGGGTGTGTGTGTGTGTGTGTGTGTGTGTGTGTGTGTGTGTGTCTCAGGTGCCTTTGCAGCTGGAGCTGTCAGCTGGGGCTCAGGAAAAGTCTTCCCAGGAGCCATAAGCCCTCCACCTGGGGAGGCCGTGCTGAGAGCTGAATTCTAACCCTCAGAAGCCTGGTCCTCTCCACCTGCCTTCGAGCTGAGTGACTGCGGCCCAGCAGCCATTGCGCGTCCCTTGCTGGTTAAGTGGTGGGTGGGGAGGGAGGAGGGAGTGTAGAGGGGAGGGTGTTTGTTTTAAAACAGACCTTTCTCCTGATCCTTCCAGAAAAGAGTAAGTAGCCTGCTTTCTGACAGCCCGGTGAAGCCAGCGTTGGAGAAAGACACACTGAGCGAAGGGGTTGCCTTGAAAACAGGCGTGAAGAAATGTTCGGAGTTTCTGTTGTTAAAGTAGCGGCCGCTGTCCCCGGGGCCAGCTCTGTTCGCGCCTTCTGCCGGCGTTGCCAGCCTTGTAGCTCGGGCCAGTCCACAGGCCCAGGAGTGTGTGCGCTGTGCTTTGGTTTGGCTGTCGTCGTGGTTTTCAATAGAACTAGCTGGGTAAGCCGTTCGGGATACGTGGCTGATGTGGAGTCAGGAGTCCATTGGTCAGTGTGGAGAGCGGACCTGTTAAAGCTGGCTTTGGGCAGGTTGGGTGTTCTAGACCGAAGACTGAATACGGGGCTGTGTGTGTGTGTGTGCGTGTGCGGGTGTGTGTGCGAGGGCGGGTGTGTGTGCGAGGGCGGGTGTGTGTGTGTGGGGGGGGGGGGGTAGAGAGCAGTTCTGGCCCCGGCCCCCAGGTGTCTGCGTTCTGGGACGCTTTGTGTTCAGCCTGGGGACGGCCCTGTCGGAGGGATGGGAGGCTGGAACTGCTGGCGCAGTTGTTTTAACACAAAGTGTGCGTGATGACGTGTGTGGTGACGGTGAAACCCCACAGACGGTGAAACTCCATCTGCCTTTTCCCGGCCCGCCGTGCGCCTTCCCGGCTCTCTGCCTCCTGCCTTCGCCTTCGGCTGGGCCCAGGGTGGCCTTTCCCGCGAGCCGGGGTGTGCCAGGCGGCCCCTGGAGCCACTTCTGCCGGGAGCCGGGTCTTGTGTGTGATCCAGACGCCGCCTGCCAGTGGGTAGGGATTGGAACTACTGTTCGGAGGTGCCCTCTAACGGCTCCTGCAGTCCTTCCTGTGGGACCAGCTCTCCGAGGGGATTCGCGCTGGAGGGACGCCCTCGCCTCCATCCCAACTTACACAGCCTGGCTGGGCTCTGGAGCACCGAGGCGGTGGCGGCTGAGATGGAGTCGCACCTAAACCCAAATCTTTCCTCCCACCTTCCTGTCAGTAAGGGTTGTTCTGTGCAAAAATAAATAAATAATCAATCAATAAAAAATACTTAAAAAAGGAAAAGAAAGAAGACAGCCCTGCGGCCATGGAGCCGCGGGCAACGCCGGACGCTCTCCCCAGGGGTGCGCTGCCGGCCGTCACGGACACGCGGCCACGAGACCCTCCCCGTGGGGAGGCTGTCAGAGCGGATGACGGACTTTCATCCTATAAAATCCATCGTCCTTTTTTACGAGCAGAACCGGAGGACCGGAGCGTGATGAAAACCGGGCAGCGTCTCCTCTCGGCCCACTCGCCCCGAGGCCCTTCGCCGACGTCTGGGCGTCCGGGTGCGGCAGGCGCCCTCGTGGGGGGGGTCCGGGAGGGCTGTCCATTAAACCCGCCGGGGAGAGGCCCGCCGGCCGGAAGCCGATCTTGTTTTACTGACAGAGCTGTGGGCAGGGAGCCGGAGGCTGGCCAGCCTTCACTGCTCTCAAGGGTCAGAGCTAAGGACTAGTTGTGGGCAGTGGAAGCAGCCCCCACCGGTCAGTCCTACACTCACTGATTGGCTGTGATTGGAGTCTCCTGCCCAGGGATACAGGTGGATCCTATCATTCTAATCTTAATAAAAGGGACGGCAAAGCCAGAGCGAGGAGTAGTCCTCCCCCTGGAGTGAGCTCCCGCCTGGCCCCCATTTCCCAAATTAATGCTTTTCTAGTCTCTTCTCCTTTGTGGGCGGCCTTCTCCAGAGCCCGAACCCCGAACCGGAGCCCTGACCACGTGGGACGTGAAAGGGGCTCCCACGTCCACCTTGCCCACGAGCCCCTACCGAGACCTCTCTCCTCAGCCAGAATGTCTGCTCCACCAGCTGCTTCCTTCCCGTCTTCCAGCCACTGCTCCTCCCTCGCAGGCCCCTCTGCGGGAGCGAGCTCCGGGAGCGGCCACCAGGGGGCAGGACCCAGAGCAGGCACCTGCCCCAGGCTGCTCCTGCGGTGGGGATGGGGAGGGTGGGGAGAGGAGGGGGCAGGGAGGGGGCGCTGCGGGGCACAGGCTCTGGCCCAGCCCCTCCCTTAGGGAATTTGGTGAAGGCCCAGGGGCAGCCCGCTGGTGTATGGAAGTTGAAGTTCAAGCACAACAACCAATCAGCTTTGCTCCAGTTTAATTAGTTTAATTATATAAAACTATTTACACCAACAGGGTTCTGGGCAAAAGTACAAATGAAATTACTGGTACAAAAGTTTTGCAAAGAAATATGGGTATGTCTTTCCAGAACGCAGTAAACATACAGATGCTGTCAGAAGCGCCATGGGTTCAAACCTCCTGTTTCCTCCATGCCATCACGCTTCCTGCCTCCTGTGTGCAGGCCCTGCTCCGAGGGCAGGGGGGGGGGGCGACCGGAAGGCCCTGCTCTGAGCCCGGCCTGGCGGAGAGGACAGACAGCAGACAGACAATGCAGGATGCGCCAGGCCGCTGGGGCGGGGCAGGGCGGGGGGCGGGGGGGTGCCCCTCCGAGTCCCGTCCCGGCACTGCCCTGCGGCCGCACAGCTGGGACAGGGCAGGCCCGGGCTGTATTGTAAAATCGCGCTGTGTGGGCGGCCGTGCCCAGTCAGACCGAAGCTCTGAGCTGAGCCAATGGGACCGCGCCCTCAGACGGGTGCACACGCGGGGTGCGTGCCCGGTGTCAGACCGCATCGCCGCTCAGCTACACTCATCCACACGCCCGTCCGGGCCGCGCCCAGAAGCCTCCCGGGCACCCCAGGTGCCGTCTGGCCTCCCGAGACCCGTCGTGCTGGGCTCCTGAGGGGGTTCCTGGGCCCCGAGCCCATGGTTTTAGAAGAAACCCCGCCAGCTGCCAACGGGCCGGTGCTGAGCTCACCGGAGGCTGCAGGCACCCGGCCTGTCTGCTGCCCGGCCGCTGGCCCGAGGACCACAGAGGCCCTGAGCCCGCGCCCCATCTCAGCGACCTGGCCCCCTGGTGCGCTCCCTCCGGGGCCCGTGGGCAGGCCGCACGGACACTGCCCAGCCCACGGGGCCACCAGGCGGGGCGGGGGAGAGGGGGCCTTCCAGAGCGAGTCACCCTCCAGACGGCGTCTCAGAGGCCATCTCCCCGGTCTGCGTCCGGGCCGGGCACCGCCGGGCACCAGCAGTGGACCCGGCAGCACCAGGCCTTCCCGGCCCAGCTGGCACCGCCTCGGCCCGGAAAGGCCCTGCGCTCTGTCACGGCGTATGGGGCGGGCAGCGGGTCCTGTTCCCGCAGCTTCACTGCCACCAGGTGGGGGCGTCCTCACGGCGAGGACCGGGGACCGGAGGTGTTTCCGCTCACAGTCCCCGGGGGCCGGGCCCCCGGGTCACACAGACCTCCCGCCCGCAGGCTGAGCGCGCGACCAGCCCGGCCCCCGGCGGGCCCAGCTCCTCGCCGCCCTGGCCGCCGCTCCCCGCGCTCCCGTCCTCGATGGAGTAGTTGCCCGAGTCCTGGCTGGTCTGGGAAGCGTACGCCTTGTGGTCCTCGTCCCCGCGCGTCCCGCCTGCGGAGCGGGTGTCCGCATTCTCGATGACGCAGCACGGCTCCGTCCGCTCCACGCTCGCGGGCAGCAGCAGGTTCTTCAGCGGCTCCTCGGGGAAGTACTGGGCGAGGAGAGGAGAGAGGAGGGGAGGGGAGGGGAGGAGAGAGGAGGGGAGGGGAGGGGAGAGGAGGGGAGAGGAGAGGAGGGGAGGGGAGGGGAGGGGAGAGGAGAGGAGAGGAGAGATGCTGTCAGAGGAGGAAGTCTGCGGCTCTCACAGCCGCAGCTCCACAGCGGTCGGCTCCCAGCACGTCCGTGCAGCACGGCGCTCAGAACCACCGCCAGGGCGCCCGCACACGCGGTGCTGCCTGGCCCTCGAGGGAGGGAGTGACGGTACTGGAGACGGATGCACCGCACTGGCGGGCAGAGGCCGAGGCCAGACAGCGAGAGCCGGGGACTGCGGGCATCTCACCGTGAAATAACAAAACCGAATATCCACCCTCAGAGCTCCAGCCGCACAAATGGTGAGTTAATGCTGTTCGGCCAGGACCTGCTGTTCAATGAGGAGCAGCTGTTCAATGAGGATGAGCTGTCAGTGCTTTGGGAGCGGGCAGGAGGGGCAGAGTCTGGAGGGAAGGTCTGGCTGGGCCCTGAGAGGGACACCCCGTGCCTCCCCGGTCTCCCCGTTCACAGCCTGCCGGAGGCATCATGCCCACCTCACAGCCAAGGGCACGCCAAGGGCACGCCAAGGGCACGGAGCTTCACGCAAACCCTCAGCTGGCACCGCTCAGCGGCTGCGCCGCCGCCAAAGCTGAGGCTGCGCGGTGTCTGGGACCCGCCCGGCGGAGGCTGGGCGCCCTCCTCAGTGAGCGCTCTGGCAGCACCTGACCTCACAGGCCCCCCACCCCCCCCGCAGGTGACGGGAAGGGCACCGGCTGCCGGCTCACGTTCCCGCGTTTGCCCAGAACCCGGGCGGCTCTGAGGACCGTCTGCCTGCGAACCACTCGCGACAGTGACAGCCGCCTGCCCGCCAAGGCCGCCCGGCGGCCATCCCACGGCCCTGGGCGCAGACACCGGCCCATGTGTCCCGGACGGCAGGGACCCGCTCCGGAGGCCCCGCAGGACAGCACCCAGCAGGGACCCGCTCCGGAGGCCCCGCAGGACGGCACCCAGCAGGGACCCGCTCCGGAGGCCCCGCAGGACGGCACCCAGGGACCCGCTCCGGAGGCCCCGCAGGACGGCACCCAGCAGGGACCTGCTCCGGAGGCCCCGCAGGACGGCACCCAGGGACCCGCTCCGGAGGCCCCGCAGGACAGCACCCAGGAACCCGCTCCGGAGGCCCCGCAGAAGGACAGCACCCAGCAGGGACCCGCTCCGGAGGCCCCGCAGGACGGCACCCAGGGACCCGCTCCGGAGGCCCCGCAGGACAGCACCCAGGGACCCGCTCCGGAGGCCCCGCAGGACGGCACCCAGGAGGGACCCGCTCCGGAGGCCCCGCAGGACGGCACCCAGGGACCCGCTCCGGAGGCCCCGCAGGACGGCACTCACCTCGCCGAGGGCGGAGGGCGGCTGCCCGGCCGGGAAGAACACGTAGTGGGCCAGCTTCCCCGCGGCGGCCAGCGCGCACAGCACCAGCAGGGCGGCCAGCGCGGCCAGCGTGGCGGTGAGGCCGGGCGCCAGCCGGGCTCCGGGGCCGCCTCCTGGAACAAGCACAGCACCGTCAGCGGTCCGCCCGCAAACGCCCAGAGCCGCGCTCCAGGCGAGCTCGCGGGGAGGAAGTCTGGTTCTTAAAAGTTTATTTAAAAATGTCTTTTCTTGATCTCAGAGAGGAAGGGAGAAACATCAATGATGAGTTTCCCCCTTCCTCTGGGGAGCCTGCAGCTTGGGCCTGTGCCCTTGACCAGGATCTAACCTGGGACCCCTCAGTCCACAGCTGATGCTCTATCCACTGAGCCACACCAGCCAGGGCAGGAAATCTATTAAGTAAAAGTCTACTTAATAGCCTTAGAAACCCCTCTGGTGGCACCGCGCCTACACCACCTGCTGGCCATGGCGTTCATAAGAGGGGCCTGGGAGGGCATCCGAGACCAGGGGGAAGGGCCAGCCTGACACAGCCCCCGACACCAGAGCCACCCAGCACCACACACACACACACACACACACACACACAGACACACACACACACACACACACACACACACACACACACACTCGGCTACACGGGGACAGTGCCGGACGCGAGAACAGACCAGCCCCGCGGAGCTGGCGGACTCCCGGGACAGCTCCACTGCGAGCCGGGCAGGGCGCTGGCTCCCGCTCGGGGCGGCCACCCAGGAAGCTGGCGGTGGCGCGGGTGGAGTGAGGGCGTCAGACACTGGGCTGCGGGGGCCTGTTTTCCAACCCCGGAGCCTGAGCTCATCAGACGCCTCTGCAGCGGACGCAGCACTGCTTCTCGGAGCGGAGTGATTTTGATGAAGGGGCATTTTTTTTTTTTTAAATCCTCGCCCAAGGACAGGTTTCCATTGGTTTTTAGAGGGAGTGGGAGAGCGGGAGAGAAATATCTAAGTGAGAGACGTCAATGGGTGGCCTCCCGCACGCTCCTTGACCAGGGCCCGGGCTGGGGATGTGCCCACAACCAAGGCCCTTGCCCCCGACGGGAATCGAACCCTCTCAGGAGGAGCGCGGGAGCCGCACCTGCCGCGGTCCGGGCGCACGCCGTGTTGCTGGGGCCGCTGTGCTGGCTCCGGGGCCCGGCCGCCAGCAGCGCCCGGGCGGCCGCGCAATATACCGTCCGCGGCCGCAGGCCGGGCACCGGGAAGTCGGTCCTCTGCTCCACGATCGTCCTCTGCAAGACAAGCGCCGGGGAGCTCAGCCACGGCCTGGACGGGGCGTCCACTCCCCAGTTCTCTGAGACTCCCCCAAGGCCGGTCCCCACGGCCGACACGGCTCGGGAGAGACATGCGATGGACAACACCACGACCGGGCCAGTCAGCGATGCTGCCCGAAGAGCAGTGTTTTCAAGTTTAACTGAACAGGTTCTCATTGGCTTCAGAGGGGAGGGTCGGAGTGGGGGACAGCCACGATGAGAGGACGGCTGTGCCCGGCCGGCGCCCGCCCGGGGCGGAGGGCGACCGCGGGGCAGGGCTCCGCGCCCCGCTGACCGCCGGCAGGCAGGGTGTCTGTCTCTCACTGCGTGTGTCGGGGCCGCTTACAGAGCCGAGGACAGTGCCTGGGAAGGACCGGACAGAGAGCCAGCGGAGCCGGAGCTGTGGCTCCGGGAGAGAGAGGAGGGCCCTGAGCAAGCTGCCCGCCGCCCCCGGGAGGGACAGCGGGCCCACAGAATCTTAAAGTCTAAACGTTTCCCTATAATCTTAGTCTCTTTAAAAATACATTTGTATGGACTTCAGAGAGGAAGGGAGACAGAGAGAGGGAGAAATAATGAGAGGGAATCACTTAAGGGCTGCCTCCTGCACGCTCCCTCCTGGAGATCGGGCCTGCACCCCGGGCCTGTGCCCTGACCGGGAATCAAACCGTGACCTCCTGGTTCATAGGCCGACACTCAATCACCAGGCCACACCGGCCGAGCCACGCTTTATTTCCACTTAATTAAACTCAATTACAAAACTGCACTAGTCTCTTTACCTCTGTGTTCGTAGTGTTTTCCCAGAAACGAACTTCGTAGGTGAGCAGGTGCTGGAGCTCGGTCTGGTTCCGGAGGCCAATGGCGACGTGGAGCGCGTGGCTGTCCAGGGCCTTCAAGGCCACGACCGGAGGCGGGATGGTGGCTGGGAGGAGGGCAGGCCCGGGGTTAACGGGGTAGAGGACACCAAGGACCTCGGGCTGAGGAATTAGAACCAGAGCGAAAACGACGGCTTACCTCGTCGTCCGGCATCGAACTTCCACTCCTCGGACCACGAGGACGAGCGGGCGCCGTGGGAGGCCCGCACACGGAGGTAGACCTCCCTCCAGAGCAGGCCCGGGGGCAGGGCGCAGCGGGCCCGGGGCGTGTGCTCGCAGCCCTGCACGTGCGCCCACTTCTCCGGCCTGCGTCCAGGGACCCTTTTCAGATAGGAGCTTTCCGGACAGACAGACGGTTTGTGTTCAGTTCCAAACACCTGGCTGGTACGTGTTTGCACGGAGGGCTAGTGCAGGCAGCCGCCCTGTGAGGGCCGGCTGGAATGCGGGACCAGTGCTCTCAGGAAGTGGGTGCCTGGGGCGGAGCCGTGTCACAGAACACACACACCTTACATCATCCATGTCACAGACACACACCTTACATCATCCATGTCACAGAACATACACATATCTTACATCATCATCCATGTCACAGAACATACACATATCTTACATCATCACCCATGTCACAGAACACACATATCTTACATCATCCATGTCACAGACCACACACCTTACATCATCCATGTCACAGACACACACCTTACATCATCCATGTCACAGAACACACACCTTACATCACCCATGTCACAGAACACACACCTTACATCACCCATGTCACAGAACACACACCTTACATCATCCATGTCACAGAACACACACCTTATATCACCCATGTCACAGAACACACACCTTACATCATCCATGTCACAGAACACACACCTTACATCACCCATGTCACAGAACACACACCTTACATCATCACCCATGTCACAGAACACACACCTTACATCACCCATGTCACAGAACACACACCTTACATCATCCATGTCACAAAACACACACCTTACATCGTCATCCATGTCACAGAACACACACCTTACATCATCATCCATGTCACAGAACACACACTCCTTACATCATCCATGTCACAGAACACACACCTTACATCATCATCCATGTCACAGACACACCTTACATCATCCATGTCACAGAACACACACACCTTACATCATCATCCATGTCACAGACACACCTTACATCCATGTCACAGAACACACACACCTTACATCATCATCCATGTCACAGAACACACACCTTACATCATCATCCATGTCACAGACACACCTTACATCCATGTCACAGAACACACACACCTTACATCATCCATGTCACAGAACACACACCTTACATCACCCATGTCACAGAACACACACCTTACATCATCACCCATGTCACAGACACACCTTACATCATCCATGTCACAGAACACACACACCTTACATCATCATCCATGTCACAGACACACCTTACATCCATGTCACAGAACACACACCCCTTACATCATCCATGTCACAGAACACACACCTTACATCATCACCCATGTCACAGAACACACACCTTACACCGTCATCCATGTCACAGACACACCTTACATCACCCATGTCACAGAACACACACCTTACATCATCCATGTCACGGAACACACACCTTACATCATCACCCATGTCACAGAACACACACCTTACATCACCCATGTCACAGAACACACACCTTACATCATCCATGTCACAGAACACACACACCTTACATCATCATCCATGTCACAGACACACCTTACATCCATGTCACAGAACACACACCTTATATCGTCATCCATGTCACAGAACACACACCTTACACCGTCATCCATGTCACAGAACACACACCTTACATCACCCATGTCACAGAACACACACCTTACATCATCCATGTCACAGAACACACACCTTATATCACCCATGTCACAGAACACACACCTTACATCATCCATGTCACAGAACACACACCTTACATCACCCATGTCACAGAACACACACCTTACATCATCACCCATGTCACAGAACACACACCTTACATCACCCATGTCACAGAACACACACCTTACATCATCCATGTCACAAAACACACACCTTACATCGTCATCCATGTCACAGAACACACACCTTACATCATCATCCATGTCACAGAACACACACTCCTTACATCATCCATGTCACAGAACACACACCTTACATCATCATCCATGTCACAGACACACCTTACATCATCCATGTCACAGAACACACACACCTTACATCATCATCCATGTCACAGACACACCTTACATCCATGTCACAGAACACACACACCTTACATCATCATCCATGTCACAGAACACACACCTTACATCATCATCCATGTCACAGACACACCTTACATCCATGTCACAGAACACACACACCTTACATCATCCATGTCACAGAACACACACCTTACATCACCCATGTCACAGAACACACACCTTACATCATCACCCATGTCACAGACACACCTTACATCATCCATGTCACAGAACACACACACCTTACATCATCATCCATGTCACAGACACACCTTACATCCATGTCACAGAACACACACCCCTTACATCATCCATGTCACAGAACACACACCTTACATCATCACCCATGTCACAGAACACACACCTTACACCGTCATCCATGTCACAGACACACCTTACATCACCCATGTCACAGAACACACACCTTACATCATCCATGTCACGGAACACACACCTTACATCATCACCCATGTCACAGAACACACACCTTACATCACCCATGTCACAGAACACACACCTTACATCATCCATGTCACAGAACACACACACCTTACATCATCATCCATGTCACAGACACACCTTACATCCATGTCACAGAACACACACCTTATATCGTCATCCATGTCACAGAACACACACCTTACACCGTCATCCATGTCACAGAACACACACCTTACATCACCCATGTCACAGAACACACACACCTTACATCACCCATGTCACAGAACACACACCTTACATCATCATCCATGTCACAGAACACACACCTTACATCATCACCCATGTCACAGACACACCTTACATCATCCATGTCACAGAACACACACCTTACATCATCCATGTCACAGAACACACACCTTACATCATCCATGTCACAAAACACACACACCTTACATCATCATCCATGTCACAGACACACCTTACATCCATGTCACAGAACACACACACCTTACATCATCATCCATGTCACAGAACACACACCTTACATCATCATCCATGTCACAGAACACACACCTTACATCATCACCCATGTCACAGACACACCTTACATCATCCATGTCACAGAACACACACACCTTACATCATCATCCATGTCACAGACACACCTTACATCCATGTCACAGAACACACACCCCTTACATCATCCATGTCACAGAACACACACCTTACATCATCACCCATGTCACAGAACACACACCTTACACCGTCATCCATGTCACAGACACACCTTACATCACCCATGTCACAGAACACACACCTTACATCATCCATGTCACGGAACACACACCTTACATCATCACCCATGTCACAGAACACACACCTTACATCACCCATGTCACAGAACACACACCTTACATCATCCATGTCACAGAACACACACACCTTACATCATCATCCATGTCACAGACACACCTTACATCCATGTCACAGAACACACACCTTATATCGTCATCCATGTCACAGAACACACACCTTACACCGTCATCCATGTCACAGAACACACACCTTACATCACCCATGTCACAGAACACACACACCTTACATCACCCATGTCACAGAACACACACCTTACATCATCATCCATGTCACAGAACACACACCTTACATCATCACCCATGTCACAGACACACCTTACATCATCCATGTCACAGAACACACACCTTACATCATCCATGTCACAGAACACACACCTTACATCATCCATGTCACAAAACACACACCTTACATCACCCATGTCACAGAACACACACACCTTACATCATCCATGTCACAGAACACACACCTTACATCACCCATGTCACAGAACACACACCTTACATCATCCATGTCACAAAACACACACCTTACATCATCATCCATGTCACAGAACACACACCTTACATCATCACCCATGTCACAGAACACACATATCTTACAACAGATGAAGACACGGAGGCCCAGAGAGGTCACACAACCACTGTCAGCAGCAGCAGCGGGCAGAGCCAGCGCTGGTATGAGATACCCCTTCTCCAACAGTGCAACCGACACCACGAGCGCGGGGACCGGCCAGCCGGTGGGGGGGCCGGCCAGCGGTGGGGGGCCGGCCAGCGGTGGGGGGACCGGCCAGCTGGTGGGGGGACCGGGCAGCGGTGGGGGGCCGGGCAGCCGGTGGGGGGGCCGGGCAGCCAGTGGGGGGGCCGGGCAGCCAGTGGGGGGGCCGGGTAGCCGGTGGGGGGGGGGGGCGGGCAGCGGGGGGGGGCCGGCCAGCGGTGGGGGGCCGGCCAGCGGTGGGGGGCCGGCCAGCGGTGGGGGGCCAGCCAGCGGTGGGGGGGCCGGGCAGCCAGTGGGGGGGCCGGGCAGCGGTGGGGGGGCCGGTCAGCGGTGGGGGGGGCCGGCCAGCGGTGGGGGGGGCCGGTCAGCGGTGGGGGGACTGGCCAGCGGTGGGGGGCCGGCCAGCGGTGGGGGGACCGGCCAGCCAGTGGGGGGGCCGGGCAGCCGGTGGGGGGCTGGTCAGCCGGTGGGGGAGCCGGCCAGCCGGTGGGGGCTGCAGGAGCACAGCCAGCGGGCAGCAGGTGAAGGGGCGTGCGGGCAGAACTTACTTGAGCCACTGGGCTTGAAACGTCACGTTGTCCCATGTGTAATCCCACCTGAGGACGTAGGTCTGGTTTTCCAGAACGACCTTCACGTTTTCGGGAGCAGGCAGCTCACTTTCCACTGGAAGACACGGAACACACAGAAGCATGTCTGCTCGAGCGAAATCCCCGTGGCGCGGACGCTCCCGGGAGGGCGTGTTGCGCTCACTGCGTGGTCTGTGCTCGTGCTGCGTGTCCACGCGTGCATGGCTATGCCGCCTCGTGAGAGGATGGGAGGCCTGTGTACCGCTGACGTACATGGCGAGCCTCGGCGTGTCAGCGGGAATAAGTGCTGTCACATGGACACAGCAGGACCTTCTTTAAAACTTAAAGCTACAGAGCTGACAGAGAACCAACATGGCGGCCTAGGCAGACACTGTGCTTGCTGCCTCTTACAACCCATCAAAATGACAACTAAAGACAGAACAGCGATCATCCAGAACCGCGGGGAAGCTGGCTGAGTGAAGAACGTGCATGAGACTGGTGGGAGGTGTGCAGGCGTGGAACGAGCTGGCACCCCATGTGCCGCTTTTTCAATGGGAGGGAGATACATGCTCCAGCTGCCTCTGAACTCCAGTTCCAGGAGAGACTCCGGGGACCCAGTCACTATGGGGAGAAACTGGACTGTCTGGCATTGGGACAGGAATGCGAGGACGGCTTTCTTTCACACAGAAGTGCTGGCAGCAGCCGTTGTTCCTGCACTGAGACCTCACCAGTGCAGGGCAGACTGGCGGCCATTGCTGAGACCCTAACCCACCCAATTTACAATCCCGCCCAAGCTGTGCACAGAAGCTTTAGCATAGGAATGGCCTGTCGTTTCTCAGCTTGAAACCTGTCAAACAAGCTGCAGCTGGGTCAGGGAGCCGCAGAGCTATCAAAAGAAGACCCAAGGCCGCACCAGCAGCAGTCTACCTTGCTTCACAGCCGGGCTCTGTCTGGGTACTTCCAAACCCAATACAAAGAGGAGGAATCTGGAGATGTCTCTGCAGCTTCTGCTGGGTGGCCTCAGGCAGTGGCTGACTCGGCACCGCCTTGAAGATCCAAGAGCCAGTACACCCAGTGGTCATTATGAGACCATATCAGATTACAACTCTTCACATCCATAAGTGACACACTCAAGGGGCAGACTCAGTGAGCAACAAAGCCCCACAGAAGCAAGTCCTGCCCCATAAGGGTGTCTCCTGCACAGCAGCGCTCCCATTGTAGACAGATGATCCTCATATTCAATTGGCCTGGAAGACAATTCCTCCCAGTGATTCCAACAGCAATCAGGGCTTAACTACAGCAAGACTGTGCACACAGCCCACAAAGGGGTGCACCAAGAGTGTCCACCTCAGGTGACTGGGGAGGCTGAGCCACTGGGTCCTATAGGACACCTACCACACAAGGCCATTCCACCAACTCAAGGACACTTAGCAGCTACCCAGTACATAGAAACAAACACAGGGAAGCAGCCAAAATGCAGAGACAAAGAAACATGCCACAAAAATGGATAAAAGCAAAATACTGGATATAGAGTTCAAAACTTGGTTATAAGGTTACTCAAGATCTTCTAGAAACCTCTGAGGAACTTAGTGAGACCTTCAAGGATCTTAGTGAGAATGCCAAAAAAATGGAAAAGGACCAGTCAGAAATTAAGCATACACTGACTGAAATAAAGAATAATATATACAGAGATCCAACAGCAGACTAGAGAATCCCAAGAATCAAGTCAAAGATTTGAAATACGAGGAAGCAAAAAACACCCAACTGGAAAAGCAAAAAGAATCCAAAAATATGAAGATAGTGTAAAGAGCCTCAGGGACAACTTCAAAATTATGGGGGTGCCAGAAGAAGAGAGAGTGCAAGATACTGAAAACCTATTTGAAGAAATAATGACAGAAAACTTACCCCACCTGGTGAAAGAAATAGACTTACAAGTCCAGGAAGCACAGAGAACCCCAAACAAAAGAAATCCAAAGAGGACCACACCAAGACATGTCATAAATAAAATGCCAAGGGCAAAAGTCAGAGAGAATATTAAAAGTAGCAAGAGAAAAACAGTTACCTACAAGGGAGTACCCATACGATTGTCAGCTGATTTCTCAACAGAAACTATCCAGGCCAGATGGGAATGGCAAGAAATATTCAAAGTGATGAATAGCAAGAATCTACAACCAAGATTACTCTACCCAGCAAAGCTCTCAATTAGAATTGAAGGTCAGGTAAAGGGCTTCACAGACAGGAAAAAGTTAAAGGAGTTCATCACCACCAAACCAGGATTACATAAAATGCAAAAGGGTATTCTTTAGGAAGAGGAAGAAGAAAAAGGTAAAGATAAAAAATATGAACAACAAATATCTACCAACAAGTGAATCTAAAAATCAAGTGAATTAAAAATCTGATGAATAGAACAGACTGGTGAATGTAACAGAATCAGGGGCATGGACAGGGAGCGGACTGGCAATTCTGGGGGGGAGGGGGTGGGGGGGGTGCGGGAAGAGACTGGACAAAGAGTTTACACCTATGGATGAGGACAGTGAGGTGGTGAGGGCTTAGCGAGAGGTGGGAACCGGGAGGAGGGGTACTATGGGGGGGGAAAGGAGGGACAGTTGTAATTATCTGAACCATAAAGATCAAAACAAAAAACAGAACCACTGCAAGTCCACACATGCTGACGGAGCCAGCCGCCTGCTCGCTGACCAATGGACACGGGAGGGAGGCAGGAGAGGAAACCACCACTTCACACCCTGCCCTGTGGTTTGACTTAAAAAACCAAGCACAGCCCGGCTGGCGTGGCTCAGGGGCTGAGCATCGACCTGTGAACCAGGAGCTCAAGGTAGGATTCCTGGTCAGGGCACAGGCCCGGGTTTCGAACTCCAACCCCAGTAGGGGGCGTGCAGGAGGCAGCTGATCCGTGCTGCTCTCTCATCATTGATGTTTCTCTCTCTCTCTCCCTCTCCTTTCCTTTCTGAAAACAATATTTTAAAAAATAAACTAGTAAATCTTTAAAAAACAAACAAAATCGCACAAAGTATACTATATTTACAATTAAAATAAACCTGAGCTCCCACCCTGACCTGAATTGTTGGCAAGGTGTCTCTGATGAGATAAATCTCCCGAGATGTTTCCACGGTAACACTTTGCCAGAAGGCAGCTTTGGAGGCAACCTGCCATGGCCACCTGTTTGTGGTTCTGACCCACGTTTGTGGCTTATATAGCGCTTCTAACCGTCCACTGAGCCACCCCGGGGAGCTCAGCACCCACCATGCAGGGCGCCCGCCGCCCGCCCGCCCGCCTGCCCGGCTCACCCGGGGTGCTGACGCAGCGCGCAGGGCTGAAGGCCGCGGGGTTCCGGTGCAGCAGCAGGCGCGCCTGCGCCGTCACGCAGTAGGTGGTCTCCGGCAGCAGCCCGTGGACTTTGATCCTGGGGTTTCTGGAGCGCAGGGTTTTGTTCCACGCCTGCAGCAGAAGCGCGGCCGAGCGTCAGGGCGAGCGTCAGGGTGGGCCGGCACCCGCCGCCGGGAGGCCGGCTCACCTGCGGCCCCGTGGCATTGCCCCAGATGACCACGCTGTACACGAAGCTCCCGCGGTCCAGCTGCCACATGCCGTCCGCGGCGCCGGGCAGCGAGATGCTCACCGCCACGGCCTTGTCTTCGGCTTCCAGGTGGACCTCCGGGGGGCCGATCCGAGCTGTGAGACCGGGACTCTGTGAGCGCCATGACCACGGCACCACGCACCCGCCCTCCTCGGTGCTCCGCCCGAGCCTCCCAGCGGAACACTGTTCCCGCGAGCCCACTGCCTGGGGGAAGCAGAACCCTGGAGACACATGTGTGACAGGCGTGCTGTAAGGAAACATGACGATTACACAGGCACAGAGGATGAGCGAGGGACGTCAGGTGAGTTAGTCAGTCAGGGGGGAGCCTCCGAGACGTGACCGAATCGGGGAGCTACCACGCAAACAGCTAGGGGGAAAGTGTGCCCCAGCCGGGCACTCGGGCCCAGGCCCTGAAGATGGGCAGGAGCTACCATGTTCAGGAGACGGGAGGGGCCTGGAAGGGCTGCGTGGTGGACAATGAGGCCAGAGAGGTCACTCGTGGCCAGGCGGAAGGAGTCTGAGGGCCGTGATTGGATGAATGCTATGATCTGATTTATATTTGGGCCCAGCCGGGATGGCACAGTGGTTGAGCATCAACTCATGAACCAGGAGATCACGGTGTGATTCCCGGTCAGGGCACAGGCCTAGGTTGTGGGCTTGATCCCCAGTAGGGGGCATGCAGGAGGCAGCCAATCAATGATTGTTTCTCAACGTTGATGTTTCTATCTCTCCCTTCCCCTCTGAAATCAAGAAAAATGTCCTATAAAGAGCTGGTATGCTAATTAGACCGTCTGGATGACCCTTCGGATGACCTTCCAGGCGAAGATGGGCTGTGGGGGCCAAGCCAGGGCATGGATCCGTGCACCGGGCCTCCAGTGTGCGCACGAAAGAAGAGGGAGCTCGCTCGTCCTGCAGGGGGCGGTGTGGGGAGCAAACGGCCCGCCACTGCATCCAGCGGCTCTCACCTTGCTGGTATGGGACAAACGGGTCAAGCTCATGCCACGGCGAGGTGAGGCCTCCGTCTTCCGCTCTTACTCGCAGTCTGACTTCCTCGTAAGCATACGGGTGGAGGGAGGAAAAGTCGCAGGTGGCACTCGTCACATGTTGACACCCAGGCAGTTCTGTCCAAATATCCACCATCCCGGGTCTTCAAACGAAAAGGCAAGAGAACGCGTGAGCGACCGTCTGAGCACGGGAGCGTGCGGGACGGTCCGTGCACACCGCATGCAGCTGGCTCGCGGCCACTTCTACTCCCTTTCTGTCCTGCTAACATGTTAGTGCCCCTTCCAGCTTTTCAAGGCAGACAGACGCAGGCTCTGGGTCACAAAGGCGGTCTGAAGGAGTGACTGCTAACCACAAGGTTCTGTAAGTTTGTGGGGGAAGCAGAGAGAATGGCCCTCGAGCAGAAGTGGACGGTGCTGGCAGCAGCTGTGCCCGCTGCCCCCACTTCATTCCTGGGCCTTCTGCTCCTCTGGGGAACCCGGGACTGCGGCTGATGGTCCTGCTGGTCTGCTCCCAGGAGCAGCCACCGGCCCCAAGAGAGTCCGAGCCTCCTCTGCCCTCCCACCGAGACCCCTCTGCCTGCTGACCGCCTCCTGCTGTCCCCACGCCGGAAACAAGGGCTCACAGGAACTCTCACTAACAGCGCCCCAAATGGACTCAGGCGCAGGCCGTGCTGGGGCAGGGTGGGCAGTGGAGGCAGCGAGAGGGGGATCCACTCTGCCCAGCGGCCCTGCACCTGGGAACTGGTTTGAGAGGCACTTGTCCAGTTCAGTCCACAGGCCCAGCGTTGGCTGGTTTTGGGATAACATTATAGACTTCGTTTTAAAGATGCTTATGACAACAGAAACTAGGAATGGTACCCAAATAACATTGGTGCTGACCCCATTTCAAGTCTACCTTATTTTTTAAAAAGGAAACATTTAAAAAATTACCAAAAATAGCCCAGCCGGTACAGCTCGACCCATGACCCGGGAGGTCCCGGTGTGGTGCCCGGTCAGGACACAAACACACGGAGCTGCCGACGACACCATCCAACACGGACACGCGGAGCCTGGCGGAGGCCTGTGTGCTCTCCTGCCCTCCGCGGCCGCGAAGCTCCCGCTCCGGCCGGGTCCAGGCACCGGCCGGGCGCCCGGGGCGGAGACGGGGCGGCTGTGGGCTGAGCTGCCGCCATCGCCACCCCCAGCCCCCTGGCGGCAAAGCCAAAGAGAAGTTCCACCACCTCTCAGTTTGCCGAGACGAACCTCTGAGGATTATGTGGACATAACATCTCTCTAAGAACTGGGGGAAAGCCTCAAGTGTTCCAGAAATCGGAACAGAAATGGCGGCATCAGAACTATAAATTGCTCAGAAGCTCTGCCGCGGACACACACACACACACACACACACACACGTACACTTGGTAATCTGCCGACACAGCCACGGCCCCCGGGGGCTCCCGGCTCCGGTCCCACTGCAGCGTGAAGATGTCATCGATGATGTCGACGCCCACATTTTGGGGAGGTGCTAGTCCTGTGCCCCCTGCACAGGGAACAAGAGAGAAGAGTCACAGACACACTGCAGACAGTAGGATGTTCCTCGCCCCTCCTCATCGCTATGAGAGCAGGGAGACATGGACATGTGACAGAGGTCAGTGTACGAAAACCCAAGACCGCCACTGACTGCTCCCAGCACGGGGCCGTCAGCTAGCTACCTCTCCGCCTGAGGGCCGGGAAAGATGGAGTGTCTTTAACCTGTAAAAAGCGTTGTATGTCAACTGTGGGTATATCCCCGTGACGGCGGAAAACCAAAGGGAAAAAGTAGGCTTTGTCTCTTTAAAAAATAATATTTGTACTGACCTCAGAGAGGAAAGGAGAGGGAGAGAGAGAAACATCTGTGATGAGAGAGAATCATGGACCGGCTGCCTCCGGGCGCCCGCACTGGGCATGTGCCCGGACCAGGAAGTGCACCGTGACCTCCTGGTCCATAGGTCGCCATTCACCCACGGAGTCCGGCCGGCTGGGCTGGCTTTGTCTGAGAGAATGTTCTCTGTACGGAGTTTGTGTCTGGCCGGGAAGCCACGAGACGCCAAGGAAACCGCGCAGAGACCGGGTCTGCACGGTGACCTGCCGGCCACGCCCTCAGGCCCTGAGAAGTCAGGGAGCCTCCTGGGCCCTCAAGGGCTGCAGAGGCCCACTTTCTTGCCTCCCAGCGCACCCCTCCCACCGCTGCGTGCCCTCTCCCGTTCTCCCCTTTCTGGTAACGGCAACCCATCTCTTCTCTGACCCCCAATCCTCCTAGACCAGCTCACACTGAGCCCTTCCAGCAGCCTTCCTCCCGCCCGCAGCCCCGGCGGGCCTGGGGCCTGCGCTGCCCATCCCACCCCGACCGGTGAGAAGGCACACAGCCCGGGGCCGCCGGCTGGCCGGCTCCCACGGCCGGTGAACACAGAGCCTTTACACGCTTCTGTGTCAAACGCAGATCTCCAGCCTGAGGCCGCCCGGGGGGCAGGCAGCCCGGCAGCTCACCCGCTCAGTGCTCAGTGCCACGCTGGGCACACGGCTTCAATGCACGAAGGCATGGTTTTTCTGAGTGACAGGCCGGGTTTCAGATTTACTTCCGGTCCTGACCACGTTCCTAGTTTTACTTCTGCCAGCCCGTGCCTCCTGTAGCGCTCTATCCCTCTCCCTTCCTCTCTGTAGAAAACCAATAAAATATATTAAAAAATAAAATAAAAGTATGAGCACCGTACTTGAAAGGCAGAGCAACACGATGATCTAAGGCAGGGTTAATGCTTCATTTAGTTTTGAGCATTACTATTCCTTCGGAGAAGCAAAGTAGATTAACGGAAGGCGGGCTCTGTGCCCGATTCCCAGTCTGATTTCCCAGCTGCCTCAGGCCAGTGACTCAGCCTCTCAGCAGCACAGGCCAGGAGGAGGGCAGGGCGGTGCCTCGGGTCCTTTCCAAGGCACAGGAGTTCACACCGTTACAATACCTGGAGCGCCTGGTGTGCAGTTAAGAGCTCAGTACATGCCAGCTGCGTATAAAACTTAGTTAGCCCTGGCTCAGTAGACAGAGTGTCCGCCTGCGGACTGAAGGGTCCCAGGTTCCATTCTGGTCAAGGGCATAGGCCCGGGTTGCAGGCTCCATCCCCAGTAGGGGGTGTGAGGGAGGCAGCTGATCAGTGATTCTCATCATTGATGTTTTCTGTTTCTCTCCCTCTCCCTTACTGTCTGAAGTCAATAAAAAAATATATAAAAATAGCCAAAACCGGTGTGGCTCAGTGGATAGAGCGCAGCCTGCAGACTGAAAGGTCCCGGGTTCAATTCCGGTCAAGGGCACATGCCTTGGTTTCGGGCACATCCCCAGTAGGGGGTGTGCAAGAGGCAGCTGATGGATGTTTCTCTCATCAATGCTTCTATCTCTCTCCCTTCCCCTCTGTAAAAAATCAATAAAAATATATTTAAAAAAAAAAATATATATATATATATATAAATAAAAATAAAACTTACTTTTAGCAACTCTCTGCTAATCCAAATTAAAATTAGGATCTTTTAAAAAACGTATTTTTAACTTTTCAATTACAGATCTTAATGCACATCCTCCTGGAATGTTAATTTTACGAGAAAACTCTGGGAAAACTCCTGTTAAAGCAAACACTAGTTAATGCAAATGCCCATGGACCAAAGGAATCAGAAATTACCACGGGGGCACCGAGGCCCCCCACCGCCCACATACCATCCTGGGCCCGTGCCTGCGGCAGGGTCTGAGAAAGCCGCGCCACATTGGGGTGCACTTCTCTGGGCCAACAGTTCAGCATCTGAGTCCCTAGGCAGCCTCCCCGGACCCCGGATTCCTGCCCCAGCGGGCCACCCCCGCCCCTCGTCCCGGCTGCGGCCAGGCAGCACCCCGGGGCCCGGGCCGGGGCCGCAGGGAGGGGGCCCGCCTCCTTCGGGGCGACTTTCAGTGGGTGCGCCGGTCCCAAGTCCCCGCGGCCCCGCCTCCCGCGGGGCGAGCTCTCGCTGGTCGGAGGAGCCGGCTTCGGGGCACAGCTCCCGGCCAGAGCCGAGCGCGGAACGGCCGGCCGGCGGCCCGGCGCCAAAGAGAAAGCAGGCCCGGCCCGCGGGCTCCGGCACCGGCGCCCGGGACGGGCGGGGCCCGGAGCGGCGGGGCGGGGACGCCGGGCGGGGACCGGGACGGCGCGGGCCGCGGAGCTCCGCCGCCACCTCCTCCCGTTCGAGTCTCCAGCCCACGAGCGCCGCGGCCACGCAGACCTAGGTCCCCCGGACGCTCGTGCGGGCGCCCACCTCCCCGCGCCGGGCCCCGTCTCTCACCTGCCGCTGCGTGCAGCACCCAGGGCGCCCCGGCCACCAGCACCGCGGCCGTCACTCCCAGGAGGGCGAGCATCCTCCCGGCCGCCCGCCGGGCCGCACTCACGCCGGGCGCGCTCCTCGCCGTGCGGGCCGCCCCAGGCCGTCATCTCGGGCGGCGGCCCGGCCCGCCCCTCGCCCCGCCCTCCCGCACCCCGCCCCTCGCCCCGCCCCGCCTCCGCGCATGCGCCTCCCGCCCCCACACTCCGCCCACTTCCCTCGCGCACGCGCCGCGGTCCCTCCGCCAGGCCTGGTGCCCGCGGCGTGGATGGCGCGCGCTCGGGGTGTTAGCCTGGCGGCTCCTCCTGGCGCCCCGCTTTCCCCGCGGGGGCTGCCCACTCGAGGCCCCCTCCCCCGTCTTCCTCCTCCTTTCCCCCGCCCCTCCACCCCCGCGCCCGCCAGCCGCCTCCCTCCACCCTCCACCCCCGCGCCCGCCAGCCGCCTCCCTCCACCCCCGCGCCCGCCGGCCGCCTCCCTCCACCCTCCACCCCCGCGCCCGAGGGCCGCCTCCCTCCACCCCGCGCCCGCCAGCCGCCTCCCTCCACCCTCCACCCCCGCGCCCGCCAGCCGCCTCCCTCCACCCTCCACCCCCGCGCCCGCCAGCCGCCTCCCTCCACCCCCGCGCCCGCCAGCCGCCTCCCTCCACCCTCCACCCCCGCGCCCGCCGGCCGCCTCCCTCCACCCTCCACCCCCGCGCCCGAGGGCCGCCTCCCGGCGCCGGGTCCTCACAGCGGGCGCCGCGTGGCCACGGCGCCTTCGGGGCTCGGCCCTCCCCGCGGGCCGGGGCCTCCGGGGCGGGGAGGGCGGAAGCGGGTGCTGCGGGCGGGGAGGGCCGGCCGGTGGGGCCTGTGCGGGGCGCTGCCGGCCCGGGACCGTGGTTTCCGGGCGCCCGGCGGAGGGGCGGAGAGAGTGGGGCCCGGGCCCCGCGGGCCCCTGTCAGCCATCGCTGGGCCCGCCCGCGGACGGCCCAGTGCCGTCACCGGTGAGGAAAGAGCCAAATGGAGACGATGGACGAGGGGTGAGGGCCGGTCAGGCCTCGCCGCCCGCAGCGCCGGAGGCTGCCGGCCCGGCCCACGCGACGAGGGTTCCGAGCGAACCCGGCTCCCCCGGGGCCCCTCGGCCCCCTGACCACCCCCCCCCCCGGGTCCCGCTGGCCCCCCTGATCCCCCCCAGGCCCTCCTGATCCGAGCCCCCCGGCTCCCCCGGGGACCCCCTGACCCCTCCCCCCGGCCCCCGGGGCCCCCTCCCGGCTCCCGTGACCCCCGCTCCCCTGGAAAACCCCGGAGGAGACGGACGGAGGGAGATCCCGGCGTGTGGCTGAGTCACACTCACAAGGTTTCCCAGACGCTGACTGACTAAATCCCGTTTTTATTAAATTCCACTTCCTGTTGTCAAAGCTCTGGCGAACCGGCCGGAGTAGGCTGCACTTTCCCTTGCGGACAGCCGGCCCCAGACCGCACACCACCTGAGAGGGTTTGGAGTATGTTGCCCTGCACACACACACACACACCACAACATACCACACATACACACACACACTTACACACACACAGACGGACACTGACACACACCACAACATACCACACACACACACACACACACACACACAGACACTGACACACACACACACACACCACAACATACCACACATACACACACACACACACACTTATACACACACACAGACGGACACTAACATACTACACACACACACACTTATACACACACACAGACGGACACTGACACACACCACAACATACCACACACACACACACTTATACACACACACAGACGGACACTGACACACACACCACAATATACCACACACACACACACTCATACACAGACACTGACACACACACAGACACACACCACAATATACCACTCATACACACACACTCATACACACACACCACAATATTACCACACAAACTGACACACTCTTCTGGGCAGCTGGAGTTCTTACAGATGCACACAGTGTTTTTGGTAACAGAAATCACATTCAGCACTAACCGGTGTGGCACAGTGGATAGAGCATCGGCCTGTGGACTGAAGGGTCCTGGGTTCAATTCCTGTCAAGGGCATGTGCCTTGGTTGCGGGCACATCCCCAGTGGGGGGTGTGCAGGAGGCAACAGATTGATGTTTCTCTCTCATCGATGTTTCTAACTATCTCCATCTCCCTTTCTCTCTGTAAAAAAATCAATAAAACATTTAAAAAAAAAACCAAAAACATCCAAATGAAAATATCCCCAAGTATATTTTAAAATGCAAGAGTTAGCCCGGCTGGTGTGGCTCAATGATTTAGGGTGGACTTATGAACCAGGAGGTCAGGGTTCGATTCCCAGTCAGAGCACCTGCGCAGGGTGTGAGTTCCATGCCCAGTGGAGGTGTGCAGGAGGCAGCTGATCCATGATTCTCTCTCATCATTGATGTGTCTCTCACTTCCTCTCTGAAACCAATAATAAAATAGAGTGAGCTCGGGGGGACTTGACCTGGGCTGCACTCCCAGCTCTGTCAGCCGGGGACCAGGCTGTTCAAGCTTGTTTCCTTATGGAGGCTGTAAGAGGGCGTGCCACAAGGCTGTGGGGAGGGTTACATTCATTAACACATGTAGAGAGTTCAGTGTCTGGCATATGGTGTTCAATAAATATTGGCATACACACACATATATATACACACACAGATATATATGTATCTTTGATTTCAGCCCTCAACCATGACCTCCAACCATTGAGCCACACCAGCCGGGCTAAATACTGGCTATTTTCACCCGAGAAAGGCTCAGGGGGAAGAGTCAGTTCTGCCTGAGAAACCTGAGGGGTCACATGGCCCAGCCCTCACACTTTCCTTCTCCAGCCTCCACGGGCTGAAACCGAGAGCCTGCACTTCCAGCCCAGCTCGCCCACACTCCTCACTCAGCAGGTGCTCTCCCTCCCTGCCAGCTGCTCACCCCACTCACCCACGCCCAGAGCCGGCCTCCGCCACCAGCACCACCTGCTCCTCGCTGTACCCGCCGCCCTCCCCCTGCCCGCCTCCTGTTGGGAGGAGACACCCTTCCCCAGCTGAAGGGTAAGCTCTCCAGCTGTTTGTTTGTTTTAATTCTCACTGGAGGATACTTTTCCATGAGTGGGAGAGAGAGGGAAAGACAGAAACATCGATGGTTGCCTCCTGCATGAGCCCCCACCAGGGCCTGGGCCGGAGAGGAGCCTGCAATTGAGGTGCGTGTCCTTGACCGGACTCGAACCCAGGACCCTTTGGTCCACAGGACAATGCTCTATCCGCTGAGCCACCTCAGTTGGCTGCCTCCTGCACATTCCCTGGCCAGGGCTGGGAATTGAACCTGCAACTTGTGCCCTTGACTGGGCATCAAACCCGTGACCCTTCGTCCGGAAGCCAATGCTTTAACCGCTGAGCGAAGCAGGCCTGGCACTAAGATGGCTCCGGAGCGTCTCACCGGCGCCTTGCTGAGCACTGGGCGCCGCCTCTCGCAGCCTCCGCCCTTCCTGGATCTCCGCTGCGACCTCCTAGCTCCCACGTGACCTGCTGCTGCAGCTGTGGACAGACGCAGCCTCCGATTCGTGATGGTAGGATGCTCAGGGTTTCCCGTGTCTGTGGGCTGGCTCACCCCAGGAACTACCAACCTGCTCCATTTGGTTTTAAACACAATTTTAAACACTGGTGTTCACCGCACTTTGTAACTCCTTTCTGTGCTGCTGGTTTTTCTCGTACACTCAGCTCCCGTTTATACTGAAAAGGCCAAAGGTGGTTCTTTTCCTTTCATTTCAAAGCACCTAAAGTGTTCCTGGCCAGTTTGGCTCAGTGGAAAGGGGGGTTGGCCTGTGGACTGAAGAGTCCTGGGTTTGATTCACAGTCAGGGCACAGGCCCGGGTTGTGGGCTCGATCCCCAGTGTGGGGCATGCAGGAGGCAGCTGATTCATGATTTTCTCTCATCATGGATGTTTCTCTCTCTCTCTCTCTCTCTCTCTCTCTCTCTCTCCATTCCTCTCCAAAATCAATAAAAAATGTTTTTTGTTTTGCTGAATCCGGTTTGGCTCAGTGGATAGAGCGTCAGCCTGCGGACTGAAGGGTCCCAGGTTCGATTCCAGTCAAGGGCGTGTATTATACCTTGGTTGCGGGCACATCCCCAGTAGGGGGCGTGCAAGAGGCAGCTGATCGATGACTCTCTCTCATCGATGTTTCTAACTCTCTGTCCCTCCCCCTCTGTAAAAAATCAATAAAATATATTAAAGAAATGTTGTTGTTTTTTTGTTTGTTTTTTTAAAAAAAATCACCTGAAATTATTTTTTTAATCCTCACCCAAGGATATTTTTTCTATTGCTATTTAGAGAGAGAGAGTGCAAGGGTGGGAGGAGGAGGAGGAGGAAAGAGAGACTCATGGATGTGAGAGAGTCTCATTGATTGGTTGCCTCCTGCATAGGCCCTGACTGGGGCTAGGGATGGAACCTGCAACCGAGGCGCATGTGCCCCTGGGTGAGAGCTGAACCCGAGGCCCATTGTCTGTGGGCCCAGTAACCTTTTCCAATGGCCACCAGCGTGCACAGCCTATGGACACGCCTTCCGGACACGCTGCGCGCTCCCCTCGCTTGCCAACGCGGAGGCACGTGCCTGTGTTTCCCGGGAGGGAGAACAGGGCCCCCGAGGAGCGTGCGGGCCACGGGGTGTCCCGGAAGTGGTGGGGGATGGCGGAGG